TTCTGCCGCGAGGCGGCATCCGCCGGCAACTGCCGGCCACTGCCAGCAACCGCGGCAACAGCGAGAGCGTAGCGCCGAGGAGTTGCAATCGGGAGGTGCAGTGCAGGAGTTGATGAACATTGCAACCTGAAGGCCAGATGGTACGTCGGGCGAAGCGGCCGAAGGGACGTCGCGGAAGACGGAGCGGCCCGCGTTGCTGTCGGCGGACTCGTCCAGCGACGCGAGGCCCGAAAAGGCGCAGGACGTAGTGCGGGGTGTATATAAAGCCGAGGAGGGGCATGACACAAAAGTATAAATGTGCCTTTAAAAAAAGAAAGCCAGCGGAGTACTGTCATAACTTTGCGTGGACGAATACCAGCACTTCAAAGAATGGCAGTAAGTAACGTTCGCGGTTTCCAGCGCGCAATTGGAATGTTGGAGACGCTCGCATTGCAAGTTGTGAGCCAGCCCTTTGAAGTGCTGCAGGCGGTGGCGAACGCAGATCTGAAGCGGCTGGCGCGGCTGGCGTCGGTAATGGACAATTGCACGACGTCGCTGGCCGTGCTGTGTAAAAAGTGTCGCTTCGCCAAACGCTTCCTCTTCCCGCAGCCGTTTCATGTGGCCATTCTTGCAAGCTACGTTGTATGCTTTCAGTTTTTTTCAGCTCAGGCTAAGCAGCCAGCCAAATGTCCCAGATGCATGCCGCGTGTGACTGTGGCCAACATGCCCTGCTGCGCAACGCGCAGGCACACCGCGGCCTTTCGCCGAGAAAATTACATACACTTTTACAGGCGCATTTTAAGAATCGCACGCGCGCATCCGCGCGGTAAAATTCGCGCCTGTCTTTGTGGGCGTCTTGTACGGATGTTTTATTCGGCACAGTACGACCGGACACATTTGTGCGAAGGGGCTGCTTAACGAAGGGGCTGCTTAATCAAATTGCGAGAAGAAGTCCGTCCGACCGTTTTGAATCGCAGCGGCGCAACGTCCCTTTCACATCCGGGGCAACAGCCCTCCCTGCCGACGACTCGTCACACGCAGCCATACATGCGCTACTGCTTCGTCGTGCGCACTTACACGAACTATTGAATTGGTTAAGGGATAAGTTACGCAGCCGCTCGCAGATGCTAGGAGGACGAGCAACCAGAATAAACTGTTCGTGCAAAGCCAAAATGCGAAAAGGCCACGGCGGGCCGCGCGAAGGGCAGCCCTCAAAAGCCAGGAGTGCTGGTGGGATACGCGTATGTGCGTGAAATAATCGCAGGCGTGCGGTGGCTTGGCTAGATTCGTTGGTGCTGTGAGGACCGGTTGCACAAGCTCCTGCGAAACGCCACAGCGCGAAGTCAGGCGGGCGCGTCCGCACGTCCCTTGGCATGCAAACGTCCACAGAACAATTGAAATGCTTTAATGCAAATTAAATATTTCGAAAACAAAGAAAGAGAAAGACAATTATAAAGGCCAACATAAAGGACAGCTCGCGGCGACACGGGAAGAAAGCGGCAAAATAGAGAAATGGAGAGACTTCGCTAGCTTGGCTTGCTGAGAGGACCGGCGACAGGGTCGCAAAGGGAAGCCTTCAAAAGTATGGACAATTGTGGCAAGCGCGCTGCAGAAATTGGGAACGTATCACCGCATTGACGGCAAGGGCGGTGCTGGCCTTCGCCCAACCCGAGTGGAGCCCTGCAACGTCGCGCGATTTCTTATATTATCACCAGGCGGCATTAAACCTGGGCACATGCAGCTTCGGTCGACGCAGCAGTAGCAGTGCGCTGTTATGAAGACGCGCAACGGTTGCTGCATGTTGCTGGCGCGTCAGGTGTGTTTCGCAGCGCCCTCATGCAGCGTGGCTTGGATGCCTGAATAGGAACGTGGCCCGGATGTGTGACCTCGCACGGCGGCCTGCTACATCGTGCAGGGAACAGGACAGACGCGTTTTGGCGTTCAGGTCTTGGTCAGGCTCTGTATCCCAGCACAGATGCCGCCCAGTGCGGTGCCGCACCTAGAGAGTCTCCACCTCTGTGCTGCCAGGCAGGTCCCGGCACCTGTGGGTGTGTAGGGTTTGATGCTGCTCGGGCGCCGCTAACAGCACCGCCGGCCCATTGGCAACATTGGCAGCGGCACCACGACCACCACAGCAGCAAGTCCTCAACCATCAGCATGCAACCCCACCCACCTCGACACACACGGGGTCCTGCAGCCAGAAACTTTGCGGCAGAACGTACATTTGCAGTGTGGCAGGAAGGGTGTAGACACGTCGCTCTGGGTCCGGTGTCCAGTTCAGCATGAGGGCTTCCACGCAGTGCTGCTGTCGAAGCCAGCCGGCCACGGCAGTACCCAAAGGCGGCCTGGACAAAGCCAACGTCCACGTCCACCAGCGCCAGTCGCATGTGTGTGATCCACAGGGTCCAGCGACACAACTGCATTGGTGTAGTCGGGCGGTAGGAATACAACATGCTGCAGGCGCTCATTATTGCCCTCATTCATTGCTGGGAAAGGCGGCTGTGCAGTGTGGCCGTACAGGTGCCACCTGCCGTGGGGGGTTGTGTTGCTGGCGGCATGCACTGAGTTATGAAAGGAGTAGGGTGGGACACCCGCACAGCATTGTCTGGAGGTGTCACGGTTGCCCAGCATTGCTGTTCGTTCTGGGAGGGGAAGCTGTAGACCTGGCGATGGCGGCGGGCTCATGATGGCCACTTTCCCCCTCAGCCTTTCACGTTTTTTCTACATACTGGCGTTGATATTCTTCCACGGAATTGATCTCCTACGTCAAGGCCGTGGAGCACCTGGACCGTTCGGGCGAGAGCCCTTCTGAGATAACGTTTCCGAACTCAACTGGTGGCCCCCAACCACCCTGTCAGTGTCAGGAATTCGTTGTGTTTCGTGTTTCCCGTGTGTTGGTCTGGGAGCTTTTCCTTCGCCACATGTGTGTTTTGTATGAAGGCGCCTCGGTGTGCTTCGCGGGTCCGTCCCGTATGGTAGGTAGCTGCGTTTCCGTCTCTCCGGAGGGGGGGAGCTCTCGTGCGTTCACTAGGGCTTCTGGGTGCTGGTGGGGGACTGGGTGGGTTTTACGTTTTGGAGGTCGCGGTCCGTTTGAGAAGGCACAAGCCCAGTGATGTTAGTGCACCTTGGCCTGACTAGCTGGACACGCGGTGCAAGCTATAGGGCCCCCGCAGTGTTGTGCTGATGCACTCGACCCGTTCGGGGTCCGCTGTAACAAATCGCATACTGCTTAACGACCATTCCCTCCAAGCGCTGCGCTGCCCTTGCCAAGTCTGTCCCAACTCGATTTCTGCTTTCCGGTGCTGTGCCACCACTCTCACCGTTTGCTTTGATATAAATTCTTTTAACATTTCAGGGCCTCCGTGTATCTCTGTTTCATACAGGGCCTACAGCGGAGGTCCAAACAAAATAAGACGAGACTAGATCTGCAGACGTGGTTTCATAGGGTAGACAGGCACGCGGCCAACCAGCGGCGGTTTATGCTTTCTTAAATTAGCTTCTTATCTTAAGTCTCTACACATATTCATATTTATAGACCTGCCAGCAGCAAAACTCGAACGTTGTCTTGCGCCTGCTGCTGCTGTGGGGAAAACTACTGTCGCTTCGAAGGTAGTTGCCATCATCGATCATGCTGTGGCTGGATATCGTGGATGCTGAATTACGTCAGCAGCGTGGCACAAGAACTGGCAGCAGGCAGGCGTGTGATGTTGATTAAAGAGCAGCAGCAGCAACAACAATTATTAGTATTGCAATACTACTGTGTACATATTGCGTGCTGCTAAAGAAGCAGCAGGGTGGGACGCACTTTGGAATTTCAACTGATGACTTCACCATCATTGCTTAATATATAAATTTAATCGCAGATATCTGTTCGTCAGGGAAGACTGCTGTCAGAGCGAGTGCTTCCCATACAACTTCCCTACCTTTCTTCAAGCGTCCATTTTGTCGCTAATTATAATAGATATATAAAGATATATTGTGATAATCATCAATTACGATTTTGTAAACTCCTGGAAGTCATCCCCAAAATCGAGATAGTCCAACGACACGCCCGAAGAAATAATAAGCAAGACTACTCATGTAAGTATTTTATATTTCCACCTGCTTTTACTTTGTGTGTTTGCACGTGGCGTAGGATACATATTGTTGGTGATGTATTGTCCTGCAATATTGCACTACCGCCCTGGACGGAGTTGGCGCGCTTATTACTAACTTGCCGTATACCCCAATAATATGCGCGCTGACCACATAACAGGATCAGAACGAAGCGGGGGCAGCAGCAGTAGCAGCAGTAGCAGCAGCAGCAGCAGCAGCAGCGGCAGCGGCGGTACCGGTGGTGACGGGTTGTGCCGGCGGCGGCCACGGCAGCGGACTCACATACATGTTGGTGTTGGAAGTGCGAGCAACATCAGTCGCCGATGCATCCGCAGCAGCAGAGCAGCGGAACAGCAAAAGCGGCAGCAGCAGCAGCAGCAGCAGGCCAGCCAGGGAAGGCAACATCAGAGGCATTCATCGACAGAGGCGCACAGCAGGCCATCATCATCATTCCATGTCGGCGGTGGGCAACAACTCTTTTTCGGGAACTGCCATAACATTAATAACCACACAGCTAATAGCTTTACTGCTGCTTATTGGCTTTAGTAGTACTACTAGTGCTCAGAAGCTATCTACAACGCTGTACGGTCCCTGGGATGCCGCAGAGGACCTGAACGAACAACGTAAGTATGTATGTATGTGGAACCCGCCCCTGCTGTTGCTGTTGTTCTTGCCGCTGCTGTTATTGCTGTTGCTGCTGCTGTTGCTGCATCTGGCATTACGAAGGATATACATACACACACAGAGACGGCGTGCGCATCTGTCACATGATGCACAATCTATAATCGATGGTTCACTGGCACAACTGAGTTTCGTTGTTGCCTTACCAACGGCTCTGCAGTGTGCAGTGCAGTGCCATGCCGTCCCGTGTGCCCTCGCAAGTGACTTTGCTTAATAATGCGATGCAAGTAATCTGAGGGCCGCCTCCGATGGCTTGCATAACCTTTCCTATTGCGCATTTGCATTTTATATCCATCGATACAGCGAGTTTTCTTGCTTGCTTGGGGTCCTAGCCTTGCCTGTGTAGTAGCTAACAGCTACTGTACAGCTTGGAGTCCCTAACCCTCCCATTCTGGATTGCGTCATCAACATGTATGTATGTACGTACACACATATATACATACATACATACCTGTCTTTGCAGACAAGGCCGTTCTCCGCTTCATCCTCAGCGGCAATACCAGCTTCTGGAGTCGGCCTGCAGTGGCCTATCGCACAGGCTTTGGGACGGCTCCCTGGCGCTGTATCGACCGCTGCCAGGCGCAGTACTTCACTGACCTGGCGCAATGCGCTCCCGACTGCACCACCATGACGTTCTGCGCACCGGGAGGTGTGTACGGCAGTCAATCCATTCAACAGATGTCAATCCCCACACATGCAGTCGTGAGGATGTGTATGTAATAGCTGTTTTTATCCCTAACAAACTTTCCAGCAAATCTTCCTAAAATTCGCATGTTTCTTCAAGCCCCCACAGAATACGATTATACCTTCTAAAGATACGTACCGCTCTACCGCTCTATCCACTACTCACCAGCTAGCTAGCTAGCTAGGTACTTCTATCTGTGTTCACCTAGCTTCATGTGCGTTTATATCCAGCTGCAGCGTACACGCACACAAACAGTTTTGCTTGCTTGCTAGTGTGTATGTGTATATGTGTATATGTGCGTGCGTGTGCGTGCGCCCGTTATTTATATTTATGATATATCTGTCTGTCTGGCTGTCTGTCTGTGCATGTGCAGAGGCGGCCCTCAGCGACCCCAACACCACCTGCTGTGCGCTCAGCCTCCTGGACCAGTCATACAGCTTCAGTCATCCGCCCAACACTGCAGTGATGAGCTGGTGCAATACCTATCCAGCCTGGTACGTGCGTGAGCAACTGCTTGCAAGCAACAGCAGCGTATTACATGTGTCACACACGTATGCATGGCGATGTGCAAGTTGTATTGATGGTGTGGATACGCAGTCGTGTGTGTACGTACGTACGTACGTATGTGTGTATGTCCCCGGCCTGTATGACCTAACGTCATATGTTTGCGTACATGACATGAATGGCTGCACCAACCAACCAGCTAGCTGGGCACCTGCAGCAGTCAAACCTGCTAGCCCCGTGTAGTAGCTGCCAGTGGTACACAGTACGGCTCTACAAATACGCGCTACCACCAGTGACCACCAGCATCTCGACAGGCCTTTTTAGCGGCGGCCAGCTGCTACACCCCCCCGGGATATACCGTAGTATGAGTTACTGTCAAGCGTGTGCAATCATAAATGGCCAGATCAACTCACATACATACATACATAATGCATAATTCCAAGCCTGGAGCTAGCTTTCCATGATGTGTATCATGTGTTCCCGCTCACTCGCTTGCTTGCACCAGGGGCTCGGGATCACGGCCTAGCGTGTGCGACTTCAACGTGTATGCAGCCCGGGGCATAAATCCACCCCTAGGCGCCAACGACTCCCTTCTTGCCGTGTCATGCACCCGGACCTCAACAACCACCTTCTATGTGAATGGCACACAGTACCGCAATGATACGGCCACACGCATCATCTACAAAAAGGATATCAAGCAAGTCAATGTGACACGGAACAATGTCAGGCGAATGTGGGTAGGGAAGGGTGGGTGCGTGGGCAGGCGGCCCGCTGCTGTTCCTGCTGCTGCTGCTGCCAGTGCTGGCCACACGCGCACACACAGGCCATCGATGACCTGCCGTTAAATATGTACCGCTGCCCACCATCAGAGGAGCGCTATCCGCTGGTCTTGCTTTGCTAGTTGATGATGCTGCTGAGCCAACATCTAGATCTGCAGCCCAGGGAGGGTGGAATTAATAATGTGGGGCTCTGCTTGGTAAACAGTTTGATGACTTGGGGAAGACTGACTGAGATTACTAGTTCGTCCGTCCGTCCGTCCGTCCGTCTACCGGGATAGAATACCGACAGGGGTGGAAGGGGGGGAAACTAAAGTGCAAAATAATTCGGAGCTAGCTGCGACATGCATGCGGCTTCCGTACATCGATGGTAGTATGTTTCCAGCAAATTAACAACTTCGATCTGCCGTAAGTGCGTTTCCTGCTGGTGGCTGGTGCCTTCCGACTTAAAACATTCGCTCGCGTCCGTAATTTTGTGGTTTCCATAATCCGGTGGCTGAATGACGGATTCCGTAAAGTTTTTACAGAATCCTTGATGAGTGGCCGCATATTTTACGGATTTGAGGTGTACTTGTTTTACGGAATGGTAGACCCGCTCTCCCACTTTCTTGCTTGCCGAGTGCAACAGCCCTGAGAGGGGGGCCCAGCTGCAGCATCATTCGGTGGCGCGATGGCACCGCGTCATCCGCTAGCGCTAGATGCATATGCTCGCGCTCTGTGGAACGTTTAGTCGTCGTCTATGTCAACGGCAATAACGGAACTCTACAGACACTATGGGGACGATGGCTTGAATGTGCATGTACTGTGCTGCGTAAATACAGTTGTACGATATATCCGCTACGTTGGCTTCCTTAATTGTTCCAAACACGCATTGACCTTTTCCAGTTGCTTCCTTGCACGCAGCATCGATAGCGATACAAGTAGCTGCAAAGTATAGAGGTCTTGATAGCCCTTATTCCGCCCCTTTTAATAATAAGCTGAAACTGCTTTATTATCTTTCCTCTTTGCTGATGCTGGCAGCAAGGCTGCAAGTAATTACACAGCTCAGCAGCGCTGCTGCCAGCATTGCATCGCTCTAAAATCCCCCTCCCCTTCCACCCCCCTCCTTCTGGCTAGTTACTCGCGCCTGCTGTATGTCTGTATGACTTAGATTACACTGTGGGCCGCGAGAGCCGGGGGCCGAAGCCGAAACACAGCGCAAGGGTCGGGAGCACACAGCACAAGTCGGTTAGTCTTGTGTGCTCCCGACCCCGACCCCGTCTGTATGTCTGCAAATGCAGCTCCCTCCGCCACACCTCCGCATGGCACCATCCCTCCGTCAACATCCGGGAGCCCCCCGAGTTCAGCTTGGTGGACGACCTGGTGTGCCTGCCGCTGGAGGAACTGTGAGAGCCACTACTTAGCTCTTGCGCTTGGCTGCATAGGGCTTAGTGCTTAGTGCATAGGGGGTGCAGCAATGCATGGGGCATGCATGCATGCGCCGCTGCTCTGGCGGCTATCACTGTGATGCGTGCCAGCTAGCTGGTACATATATAGGTCGTGGTCGCGATCGTAAATAGGGGGAAGTTCTTGTGTGCGTATGTATGTATGTTGTCACTGCATTGCTGTCAACCATGTGTGTGTTTTCTTTATTGCCTGTACACGCGTCTTGTGGTGGATGGATGCGTAACAAGGTGATAGTATGTTGTTACAGGGTGGTTAAGCTGTGTATGTATGTTGGGTGATAGTATGTATGTTGTCGATGCTGCAGCGGGCTACCAAGCTTGTATGCCTTAAAGCAAAGAAGCCGAGCCGAAGGGAACATGACGACCTGACGCTGCGTGTATCATGAAACACAAACCAGAAGAGGTATAGACTGACCGAGAAGTGGTCCATAACGGCACACGCAAACCGGCAAACAGGCAGGCTAAACAGCTGTGCTGTCGCTTGTACGGCACCGACCGACCGACGCCCCGTTTCCATCCATCGCACTAATAATTGCCGCCAGGACGACTACATCAGCCCCCGGGGGCTGATGTAGTGTGTGGGGCCCCACACACTTTGTTGCGCATTTCTGTCGGAGGTCGCATGAGCCAAACTTCCTGTCGGGACCTTTTCAATTGCTCTGTATATCACGTAAATATGTATTTATATGTCTGTATGTATATGTCCTTACAGTTACTTCGAGGATGTGGCTTTCCGCCCCCAGTTTGGGGGCCTGGCTGTCTTTCCAGATCTGAGCGGCCCCAACAACACCACGTTTAACATGTAAGCTGATTAACAACGCCGCCCGCGATGGCGGTATTAATGGGCGCACGTGATGGCGGTCATGTTGTTGTTGTAGGGGACGCCGCCGATGCAGATGGACGATGGATCCGGAGTGACGGACGACGTGCACCCTAGATAGATCGACAGATAGATCGACAGATAGATCGACAGATAAATCGACAGATAAATCGACCTCATTCGCTTAATAATATTACCTCATGGTAAATTAATGCGTGATGCATGCCTGCATGGCGCTGTGCAATTTGATTGCTGCCACGCTAGCCTGGATTTTAATTTATTGCGCATTCCCTCGTCCCTGGTTTACATCCCCGCGCGTTATCATCATATTTCCCCACATCATCCTTCACATAATCATCCCGGCTTTCCCAAAACTTGCAGATTCGACTACAAGACATGGAGCTGTGACCCAATGAATTTGCCTCCCATGAATATGACCGATTTTGGGTTTCCCGAACTGAAAAATTTCTACTATACCAATGTTACCGGTTTCAACAACTACTACCCGCTAATGTTCCGTAAGTACTTATATAACGCCCTGGCTACGTCTTAATCGCTTACAAGTAGTTGTTAGCGAACTACTGTAGCACTTCCACTACAACGCGTTTGCATGCAATTGCAATTGTTTGCCAGCAATGGTGGCGACTGTTGTATCCACCTCCACTGTTTAGGTGGTAGTGAAAACTACCGATTAGTGAATGAGAAGAGGCTAAATGCCTCTGCGTTAGGACGACCCGTACAGAAGTCTGTACGGTCCGAAGATATAGTCGTCAACGCGAATTATCACCAATCGGTGCAATCGTAACCCAAGTGGGTCTACCAGTGACAAGTGTCACGATTATAGCAAGAGCGCTATAATCCAGTATCACGCGTGATGAAGACAGGCAAGTGCCCGCTTAAAGGTGGGCCAGCGCCCAATTAAAGATAGGCAAGTGCCCAATGGTAACCAAGTAAGAGCGAAGATATTGCCCAGCGGCAAAGTGCCAGAGAATTGGGGAAAGAT